AGACAGACTTGGGGTGAGGGCAACAGTAACGTCTAACAAAGAGGAGTTGTTGTTGTTTGTTGTTTGTTTGTGTGTGTGTGTGTGTGTTTTGACCAAAAAGAAGGCTTTAAGTACTTAAGTGGAAGTACTTAAAGTCTTTGTGTCTGAAGAAGGAACTTGGAAGACATTTAGACCAAACTCTCCATCGCTGAGTGTGAAGACAAAATGAGGTTCAGTCTCCAGCAACCAACGCTGCATAACAAACCATCTCAAACTTCAAAACGTAAAGCATGCCATCATGTCCGCGGATTCTATGTTTGAGAGTCCAGCAAGGGGTATGGGAGGTTCAGTGCGCTTGGCTTCATAATGCACTCCGCAAAAGCAGGGTGACGCCATGCTGGGAGGCTGGCACCCTTGGAAGGCTTTCTTCCCCAGGCCTGGCACTGGGTCCAGAAGCCCTCTAAGCCTGATGGTTGACCCTAATGCCTACATGTGACCTATCCAAGAAAAAGACTTACTCACAGCAGAGCCTCCCCAGAGTCGTGAATTTCTCGCAAGGCACGTGGAGTTGCAAGAATGATGATTTTAATGAAAAAAAAACAAAAACAAAAACAGAAACTATGTTGTTTTTATGATATATCAATGGAAGTCAGTCAGCATCACTTCTACATTGTGGGGAGGGGAGCATTATGCGTGAGTCAGAAAGTTGTCTAAACTCCTGTTGAGGGAAGAATATCAAGGTTCACATTTCAGAGAAGCTCATTGAGAGAGACTGCAGTTTTATCTGGAAAACATGATCTATGGCAGTGTCCACTCCTATTGGCCACAATACCCATCACACATGCAAAACAAATCACCTCCTTCCCAAGACACCCAACATCTCATCCCAGTACTGCATTGATTATAAGTCTAGAATCTCTGTATCTAAATCTTGTCCAAATGTGGATGGGACTCCTCAGGTACATTTTTTTTTTTGTCGATATCTTTAAGTATCCTCCCTGTTGACCTTCAGATCTATAAACTAAAATGGTAAGTTATCTGTCCTCTGTACCAGCCACGCACATCAGTGGGACAGGCACTGGGTAACTGTCCTCGACACTCCTGTTCCCTGGTTCGTCGCAGTTCTGAAATCCTGGCAGGGTTCAGGAATCGGTCATACTCTGGGCACTGTCTTTGCAACTCTTGGTTTTCTGTCCTCTGAATTATCTTTTCTTTTCCTTGAGATACAACTGTGTGCATTCACTAGACTTTTCAGTTTGCTTCTTGCCTTTCAAAGATTGAGGATTGAAAGTCCTCTTTTCATTTTATACTCTTCATTTTTTCCTCTGAGTTAAAGATGACCTAATTCCTTTTAAAAATTCTCTCACTTTTTAATCATGTATCAATATATAAACAACTCTACAAAACCACATCTGTGAATCTCTTTGAGACAGACCCTTCCCGTCTTGAGCCCTTGTGTGACCACTGTGGGACAATGTCCTCAAGATTCTTTTAAGTCTTACTATGTGCAATAAAGAATAACTACAGGGCCCACCCTAAAGATCCTTAAAAGGACTTTTATCTGCCTAGAAGTTTCTCTGAGGTAGTACCTTAAATCCTTCTGAGATTCAAACAAGGGATCTTGTAGTTCTGTTCTAAATTTATATTCTCAACTTGGGATCCTTTCCATAGAAGGACTATGCTGGAACCTTTCTATATCCTCCAAACTACACCTTAAAAATCAAGGGTTTAATCCTTAGTTTATCACTCCTCTCTAATTTTATTATAGGCAACTAGACATCAAGCAGCACCCTCAATACTCTGCCCAGAAAACAAGTTTAATCATTTTCTATCTTACACATTATAACAGGAAACAGTTCTCTTGAACTTTTTCCCACTACATAATAAAGATCTCCCTTTCTTTGGTTTTGTATATTTTTCTCAGTTTCCTTTAAACTTTTGCTATCTCTCTCCATTGACCCTCCTGTCTTGCCTTGGCTGCCCCCACAAGGGACTTCCAGGACCCATCTGCCTCTGGGTCCCACAGCTAACACTACCTGTCTTACTTTTGGTTAAAAGAATCTCCAACTTCCAGGTTCCAAATTTCTGTTCCAATTTTTCTATTTCTATGGCCACTGTCTATTCTTATTACTTCCAAACTTGGAGGCAAAAAATAAGAATTTTACTACATTTGCAGGTTATGTGGGTCAGGAATTCAGCAAAGACATAGCATGAAAAGCTTGTCTCTGGCCTGCCTGGAGTCTCAGATGAAAATACATGGAGTTTAGAATCACGGACTTAGAAGTTTCCCCCATCAAATACCTGGCACTTGGGCAGGGAGAACCCAAAGTCCAGTACTATCCTATCTACTCGAGTGCCTACACAGGGCCACTCTGCGCTGCGTGGCTTCCTCATAACATGGCTGCCTCGATAGCCAAACCTCTCACACAGCAGCACAGCTCCTGGTGTGAATGTTCTAGCGGGCAGGGCAGAAGCTGCATGACCCTTAAGGGCCAGCCTCAGAAGTCATTCGTGGTTACTTCTGCACATACCATTGGTCACAAGGAAGTCACAACTCATTTGGATTCCAAAGGAGGGGACATAGACTCTTGCTCTTGCTGGGAGAGAATCAAGTTCACATTGTAAAGGAGCCTATGGGGATGTGAGATTTTTATGCCATTTTTGGAAAATAGGATCTGCTACATCCAGGAAGGTCATTACTGACGAAGCAGAACTGAAACTCAGTTGTGCTTACGCCCAGACCCCTGTTCTTTCACTGTGCCACGCTGATGAGTCAATAGCATCATTTGCATGAATGAAAGACCTCATGTTATTAAAAAGAAAAGTTGAAACATAAGGCAAGATGCCAAATTCGGTCTCAATTGAACATTCTCTGTATTAAAAATACAGCATAAATATATGTTTCCCAGAGTTCCTGCAGAGCAAACAGCTGCATTTATTTGCGTCCAAAAACATGGAAAAGTTCCAAGCTATAAGCAAAAAGGAAGAAACTTGAGAAAACGATTTAAACTTCCATAAGCGTAAATCTTCATAAAAATGGTAGTAATGTTGATTAAACCAGGTGCTGAAACCTTCTCCTAGTCTGAAGTGTTCTACTTACAAACAGCCCCTTGCCGTATGACATCATCTCCCAGGACATCATGTATACTTGGCTAAGCAGTCAAATGAACTATAAAACTTCGTTATGTCAACTTGATTAATCACTCTTCTTCTCCACGTCCAACATGCACCAACTCAGGCTCATTCATATTCTCTCTCTCTCTCTCTCTCCTCACCCCATCCCACAACACACAGGCACACACACACACACCTCTCTGTATCCACAAGAGTCCTTTCGGGTTCCTTAGATCCTTTGTGGGACAAACACATACATAACCTCAAGCCAATTTAGGATACTCTTACCCGTGCACATCTGTGAAATCTATTCTCTCTGTGTAAATTCCTTCCTTTTGTCCCGTGAATAAAGATATAGTCTGGGAGAAGGATGAGACCAAAGAATCTTTATAAAACTGCTCACCTCTTTCCCTCCCTCTATCATATTCTATCTCTGGTCTGGGAATCTGAAAATGTCAAGCAATGCATTGTCCCTGCGATTTAGCATTAGCAGGAGAGCTCTTTGAAAGGATTCTATTACATCTTTACGTCCCTGCACATAAACAAGGTCTTCTCGGAAAACTCAGTTCGGATTTGATTTGCTGTGGAAATTCCTTAGGTTGTGCTAAAGATTTTAAGGGACAAAGAAGGGAAACCGTATTCAGGGCTTCCTTTGTGCAGAGCAACGTGTTAGGTGCTTTTCTTAAGATACGTACATTGGACGTGGTAGCATAATAAGATTGGGATTGCATGTGTGTAGAGGGGGCAGGTGCCCAGGAAGGAAGAAGCGGGGAGGGGGAGAGAGAAGGCAGAATGAGGGGAAATGGACACAAGCTGGTTTTAAAGGAGGCCTCAGAATTCCAGTAGCATGGGAGGTATGTGGAAAGGAAGGCTTGACATCACCTCCGTTTGCTTCATGAACTTGCTGACTCCTTATCATTGCCAATCTGTGACCCTGACATGATGGGAGGCCAAGGACTCCCATGTCACCTCCTATGGCTACTCTTGTTTTTTCCAACCACACTGGCCAGGCGCCAGGCTTCCGTGCACCCTAGGGCTTGGAAATTTCCATGGGGAAATCCAGGGTCAATGCCAGCACTGTTCTGCCTCAATGGTCTGATGGAGGGTTTTTTGTTTGTTTGTTTGTTTTTTTGCTTAGAATGTTCCTGTGAAACTCTAAGAGAATAGATTTCTGGTGTTTTCAAACACCAAACTGTGGTGATTGGTGGCAGCAGCCCTGGAGTTAAAATGAGTCCAGAGGGTAAGGAAGGCAAAGAACGGGAGGAGCAGGGTGAACCCTCAAGGGCTGGGCAGCTCACAACCCTGTGGGAAGAAGCGTTACTGGTGAACGGAAACGGTCTTGGGTGGTTACTGAGCTTCGCCCACCAGGTGGTGTGCTCGGCCAGTCTGTCTACCTAACTGGAGTGAAGACCCAGTGTCTGAGTAGCACAAGACTCCTCACCCCTCACCAGGCTCTTGTTAAAGGCCCAGCATGGGGACATCCGGGGTCAATGCCAGCACTGTTCTGCCTTCAGTGGTCCCATCCAGACCTGGCCTAAAAGTGCTGCTTTGTGACTTCTGTGTTTTCTGTTAGAGTCTGTAAACAAGTCTGGATGGCGCCTGGCAAAATGCCAGAGGGAGTGGTTTGTGAAGTAACATCAGTGAGCCATTAAGTGTGGAGATTCCTGATTGGTTGACTGATGTATCTAGTTTATGCTAATTAGATAAGCTGTGTGGAATGTATAAATACTGCTCCTGTCCTGCAATCAACGGCTCCCACTCCTGCTGTATCAACCTACACAAGTCCTTAGTCACCCCCCCCCCGCCCCCCGGTTATTTTGCTGCAGCCGGACTGCAGCATTTTGTAAGCTGATTGCTCTCTTTTTCTCAAAAACAGTCCATAACTTGTCATGCTTTCTTTCCCGCAGAAACTGGATCGCAGTAGCTCATGAATGATGGTCTCAAAGATTCTTCTCAGAGTGAAAGAGACAGAGTTCTGGGAAGATTAGGACATTTTAGAAAATCTCTTCTCCCTCCTAATCATGAGCACCACCAATGCCATCATTTCCATAATCATCTTTAGAATTATCTGAAGTGGAAAGGGAGCAACAGACCTGTCTAATGAATAGGTGGGAAAAAATAGAACCAGCTGATCCGTGATTGGGTGGCCCACTGCGTGCGGTCAGGGGGAACCCGAAGGTTGGACCTGCACCCATTCTCCAGCTTGGACTCCCTCTCATCTTGCTCGGCTCCTGCCCCGCTGCAGACACAAGACAGTCTCAACATCCTACCTTGGTGCCTACGCAGAGAACACTGCACTCCATCTCAGGATCGTCTTGCTATCCCCCCTTCTAAACTTTCAGAGGCATACATCTGAGCCTCTCTTGGAGTTTTTGTGTTTTGCTCCTTTATATTTGATACCTATGATATCTTGTCACATGCTGCATAATGAAGTGTTCGTCCATGAGACACCACATAGAATGATGGACCCCTAAGATTGTGATGAAGCTGAAGAATTCCTGTCACCTAGTGATGTGGTGATCGTGGTGACATCACAACACCACACTCCTATGCTTGTGATGATGCCGGTGTGGACAAACCTACTGAGCTGCTGGGCATATGAAGACAGCACGATACAACTACGTGCAGTACCTGATGCTCCATCATGGACCTCTGCATCTCTGGCTTGTGCTGTGCCTTCTTGGTGCTTTGGAGAGTACTCCTGCTTGCAAAGAGAGGCTCCCTGGGACGCCGTTGCTTTACCTACACTGTCGGGAGTCGCCACATGCATCTTGTGTTCTCCGCGTCTTCTTGACTACATCGTCATCTCTGTGCCTGCTTTAATGTGTGTTGTTGAGCTCAACATGGGCCTGGGAGCAACAGGCCATGCCATGCATGCCACATGGCCTAGGCTTGCAGGAGCTGTTCCATCCAGGTTCATGTCACCACGCTCAGTGGCATTCCTGCCTAACTGAGCAGAACAGTCCAGAACTGTTCTCAGAACAGTCCCATCATTAAGCGATGTGTGACTGCATGGAGGGGCAGATCCCCTCCCACTGGACTATAAATTTGAGGTTAGCCATATTCTCCCTCATGCCTGACTCCAGCCACCAAGCAGGTGCTTTTGATTGAGCAAGTACCTCCATAAGCACCTGTCGAAAGAACCAGGAACCGGAAGTTTGGTTCCATTGCTTCTAGGACCTGTGTTGACAAGAACACATTTGGGGGAACAATACCAGGTTGGCAGAGCAGCTGTGATTTGCCAGACACCTTACCAAGTCTCCTGGGCACATGGGCAAATGACATTTATTTGCCTGTTTCCTGATTAAAAGACCCTATGACTGTTTACTTTTCTTGGCCAGAAACCAGTTAGCATGAGACTCCATCCTCTTTCCCACCAGCTGGCGGGGTGCAGATAAGCATGGTGGCCTTGGAAACTGCATCTGAGGGTTGACGCAGCACAGATGGGCAGAGCCCAGGCCCTCGAATCAGCACATGGAAGGAAGCCACCTCCCAACCACCAACACCGTCTGGGGATTTTTGTGGGTAAGAAATAAACATCTGCCGTGTTTGAGCCATTTTCAGAGTTTGGGGTTCACGTTGTAGCAGCATGGGTTGCTTTAATATCTTTTAATATTGCCAGAAAAAAAACCACAAAACTTTGATTCTTTGTTTTGTCAAGCCACAGATTCTTTTCCATTTCAAGCACTTTTGAGTTTCCATATTGGTTATGGAGTTTTAGAGACCATTCCCACTTTCAAAAACACCCTCACTCGGCAAAGGCCCCACTCAGTGAAGGGTGTGTGAAAGATTCTGGTTGTCCTTTCTAGGAACTCTCATGCTGAGACATTATTCTAGTTCCAATAGCAAACACAGAGGAGTCCTGCAGCGCCAGACAGAGGAGGATATGGAGATAGGTGAGAAATCACAGTATGAAATTCTGTCTTAAAGATCATAAAATCTGCTGGGCATGGTGGCACATGCCTATAATCCCAGCAGCTAGGGAGGCTGAAGTAGGAGGATTGCAAGTTGGAGGCCAGCCTCAGCAACTTAGCAAAGCTGTAAGCAATTTAGCAAGACCATCTCAATATAAAAAATGTTTTAAAAAGGGCTGGGGATATAGCTCAATGTTAACATGCCCTGGGGTCAATATTCAGTACAAAAAAAAAAAAAAAAGATCATAAAATCCAACTCTGTTTGGTATTCACTTACAAAACAAACTTCCAGTGTTCTGAGATTTCTGGGGAAGGGAGGGACTCTGGTTCAATCAGGTGCCCCTGAATCTGTGAAAGCCACTTGCCCTTCAGGGGCTCTTGCTGTACCACCTGCTCTGTGTAATTATCCCAGGAAACACAAACTGAGTGGCTTCCTATTGCACAGAATGCAGTCTAAATGCTCTAGTCTGAAATCTAAGGCCTTCCACTATATGATCTACACTTTTGTTTCCAACCAAATATTGTTTTACTTTGTCCTATTTATATTCTTTTTTTCAGGGGTGGGGGAAGACAGGTATTCCACCACTACCAACCACCACTATATATATATCTCCAGGCATATAAACATACAATATGTGCATGTATTATAATATCTATCACATATTATATTTAATGTGTCATCTATGACCTTAGGACAGACAAGGTTATACTACAGTGATAAGTGGAGCCTAAACTCCAAGTGATTTAACAAATGACACACTCATAGTTTGCTTCCGCTATGTCTTTCTCATGGGGTTGTGTGTCTTTGGTGGGGGATGTGTCTGTACTCCACTCAGGTACCCAGGGTGATGGCCATTGTGCTCCATCTAGGACGGGCAACCTTCTCCTTGACTGCAGCAGGAGAGAGAGAAACCAAGTGCCCTCATACTTTCACACACATTCCATTGACCAGAACTGGTCTCGGACCCTGTCTAATTCCAAAGGAGTGGGAAAGCAGGTGAAGCAAATGTCGTATTTACTGAATGTCATTCTCCTTGCCACTGTGGTCTTCCAAGACGTTTTCCCAGTTCTCTCCAGCTGCAACCAATATTTTTCTGACAGTGTTCAATGTGCCTGTCCTTTGTAACGGGCATTTCCCACATCATATGGAGAATGTAGGTGTGCATACGACATCCATGACTCATCTCCACAGAAATCACTACATGCCAGACGCTCTCCTGGTTACATCTGTCAACACGTTAAACCTCATAATCCTCTGAGGTTCCTACTTTTGATGTGTCCAAGGTGAAGACGAGGACATGAGAGGACCTCCCACCGCCAGTTGGTTCCACAGTCCATGTTGAACCACTGTGTTATGTTGTGGCTTCTTTTTTAACTTCCTTATTAGCAAAGACTAAAATGTAAAACTGATTCATTTCTTTATTTCTCATGACACCAAATACCATTTTAGGCACTCAGTGGATTTTCTGGAAGGCAGAGTACATAATTAGTGCCTTTTCTAATAAAGATTTTCAACAGACCTGATCTGTTAGTAGTTTTCCTCCTGGCTTTGCCAGATTGCTGCCGTCATCCAGGGAACCGTTGTAGGAGATGCCACTGTGTCTCCTTAAAAAGCCACAGGTCTTCACAGGAAGTACAAGGGGGTCTTTGGGGATTTATAGGGGACAGCCAGACAGAAGGCAGCAAAGCAAAGGTGAGACACGCAGGAAAAGACTCCAGCCACTTGGTTTCTATTGTGTTTGATTTTGTGCTTAAGAGACTGTTAAATTGAAGTAGGGAAGTGTGGCTGCTGAGTCTGTTTGGTCTCCTTTTGAGTTCCCCAACTCCAGAAATAAATCCAGCTCCCCAGAGAGGACTTTCCTTTGCTTAACTGTGGATTCCTGGTAAGCTGTAATCCCCTTCCACTGGCCGGGAGCCTTCTACAGACTAAATTTAGAAAAATTAAATTACAGCCCAGCAGTGTGGCTCCCCAAAATGAAACCTATAGTACAGAAAACCTGAAACCAGGGAAGGGCTGCGCAGAGGGGGGCGTCGGGGACCTGGCGATCAGCCTCACCATCTCCCATTGGAAAGTTCCTGCTCGTTTGCAGAGAAGAGGGGACTGTAGGAGCCAATTTAGAACCATCCACACGATGATCGATGATGGGGAGAGGAGCCTTGTGCTAATTAGGCCTCCGAGTTCCAACCAGGCATGAAGAAAGCACAGTCAACCTGGTCCAGACACAGGCGCCCCCAGCGCAGCGCCCAACTGCGCATTGCCAGGGCCGGTGACTCAGGAAGGAAAAGTACCGGGAAACCATCTCCTGCGATGACTCACCACGGGGCAGTCCTGTGCTGTCCTGATGGAAAACTGGTGGGATCTCGCGGATTCATAAGGACCTGGCAGCCCCTGCTAGGACTTGTACCCACTTAAGTGGGAGGGGTGGGCGGCTCTAATCCAGACTGGGAAGAAAGGGGACTAAATGGCACTCTGTCATGCAACTACCCACGGCATGGCTCTGTGCCCCAGAGAATGGCAAAGATGCCCAAGCCATCTTAAAGGGCATGGCAGGTCGTGAATCAAAGTATTCTCTGGATTTTTTTTTTTTGTTTAATGCCTGGCAAGTTTTCCTAGTAACCAAGAGAGACCTCAGATTTAGATGACAAATAGTGGGGTTGGAGTTTTGTTCCCCAGGGCTGGATGTGTGCTTGGCTGCATGAGACCTTGGGTTCAATCTCCAGGGCCAAAAACATATGAAATAAATGCATATTTTGAAAAGGAAAAGGAAAATGTATTGGATGTTAGGATTTAAAAGAAAATGCTTTTGATATGATTTGTGTGTGTGTGTGTGGAAAAGTGAGGCTCGTGTGTCCATTGACATTTGTAGTAGATTGATTCAACAAATATTTATTGAGTTCTGAAAGTGACCAGATATTGTTCTAAGCATTGGGAATAGTGTGGTGAACAAAACAAAATCCTTTTCCTCACAGAATTTATAATCGAGAGGGAGAACTGATAATAAGTGGTAGACAAAGCAATAATGCTGTGATTTCTTTTCTTTCTTTCTGTGTGTGTGTGTGTGTGTGTATGTATGTGTTTTCTGGGAATGGAACCCAGGGATGCTTTACCATTGAGCTATATTCCCAGTCCTTTTTGCTTTTTTTTACAGGGTCTCGCTAAGTTGCTTGGGGCCTCACAAATTTTATGAGGCTGGCCTCTGATTTGGGATCCTCATGCCTCAGCCTCAAGTCAAGAAACTGGTGAAAGAAGGAAGGAAGGAAGAAAGGGAGGGAGGAAGGGAGGAAGGGAGGAAGGAAGGAAGGAAGGAAGGAAGGAAGGAAGGAAGGGAGGAAGGAAGGAAGGAAAGAAAGAAGGAAGGAAGGAACTGGTTTTATAGGAATGTACCACTGCCCCTGACTAATTGTGTAATTTCTTATTGAGATAATTGTTATGAAGAAAAATAAATAGAAGGAGAAGTTAGAGGGCATTTTAGTTGTCTATTGTCATCTAACCAACTAGCCCAAGATTTATTTGCTTTAAACAATGATTTATCATTTTTCATGATTGTGTAGGTCAGAAACTTGGAAAGGGCTCAGCTGGATGGTTCTTCTGCTATATGTGACATCAACTGGGATCAAGCACCTGACCTATTCAGTCAGCACTGGACAAGACTGAAAGGTCTAAGAAGTCATTTATGTCTGCTTGAGATCTCAGAATCCCCTCTGTATGTACTCAGTGTCTCTCTGTGTTGTCTCACCACTTGGTAATTTAGCTTGCTCTTGCATGGTAACTGGCATCCCTACAGAAAACATCCCTAAGGGCAAGCTGCCAGGCCTCCTAAAAGTCAGTCTTATATCTGACACACTGCTACCTTCTCTGCATTTTACCATCAGAGCAGGCCACAAGATCAGCCCAGATTCAATGTTGGAAAAATAGACTCACCTTCCAGTGGGCAGAACTGATTGCAGCCATTGTTGGAAACAATCAACTGCAGAGAATGAAGTGAGGAGTTGGACCGTGGCAAAGGTAGAAAGGGGCCATTTCACACTCTAGACAGAGGGAGCCACTAGGACAAGGCCTTGAGATGGGACACACTCAGTGTTGAGGATTGATTACAAAAAAAAAAAAAAAATCAAAGAGGTCAAAGATATATGGTGACTGTGCTAAAGAGGAAGGAGCAATAGGGTAAGTCACTACAAATGGGATCAGGGCCCTTCTAAGAGGCCTGAACAGCTGACAGAGACAGAGTGTCGGTGAGATGATCAGGAGACTTGGAGTCAGGGTTAGGTCTTCATATTTTATTCCAAATGTGATGAGATGCTTTCTTAGGAGAGCAGAGTGAAATAGCTCATGTGTCAGAGGGAGCACTCTGGCTGTTCTGTGGAGAATGGATCAGAGGAAAGAACTGAAGGAAGGAGGGAGACCAGCGTGGGGCTCCTGCCATCATCCTGGTGAGAGGTGTTGGTGACTTAGAGAGATGCAGCAAGTGGCCAGATTCTGGGTTTGGGATTTTGAAATTACAGCTGGCAAGGCCTGCCAACAGAGTGGATGGAAATGGGAGAGAAAGGATGAATCAAAGCTGATTTTTAGATTTTTGAGGCTAGATGACTATCATTTAGTGGAATAAAAAAGACATAGGAGAAAAAGATTTAAGGTAAGGAGTAATGAAAATAAAGAGTTATGCTTCAGATCAAGTTCAGAGAGAGATCATCAGAAATCACACTGGAGCTTTTAATTGAGCAAACTTCTATGGTCTGCATGGTTGTGTCACCCCAAACTTCATGAGCTGAAACCTGAAACCTGCTCCCCAGGGTGAAGACATTAAGGGGTGGCCTTGAGAGATAATTAGGTTGAGGGCAGAGCCATCAGAAATGGGCTCAGTGCCCTTCTACGGACACCCAAGGAGTTTGTTTGCCTCTTCCACCCTGTGAAGACCCAGCGTGAAGATGCCATCCACAAATCAGAAAGCAAGCCTCCCTACACACTCAGCCAGCTGGGCCTTGATCTTGGACTTCCAGCCTCTAAAACTGAGAGCAATAAATTTTCTGTTGTTTGTAAGCTTCCTAGTTTATGGTATTTTGTTGTAACAGCCTAAATGAATGAATATGTGGTAGAAATATATGAGTCCTGAGTTCAGGGGAGATCTGAACTTATAAATTCGCAAGTTAGCAATGTGTGCCTGGTGTTTAAAACCACAGGACCAAATGGAACCTGGGGCTGTCACCATGAGAGATCACAAAGAGTCGGGGCCAGCAAAGAGACAGGAAAGAGGCCACCATTGAAAAAGAAATAAGAAAGAGTGATATATGGGAGGCTGGGGGGAAAGGATGTTTCAAGAAAGGGGTAACACTCTCCTGAGTTGCTGCTGCTGGTCGAATCAGATGCTATTTGCCCTTTGGCTTTGGCCAGTGCAGAAGTCTCCTGATTGACAGAAGTAGCTACAATGGAGGAAGGGGGAAGGAAGAAAGGATGAGAAAGTAGAGGGAGGTAACTGAAGAGCAAGAGAGAAATGGGTCATAGGGGATATGATTAAAGGATCTTTTTTAAAGATAGGCAATATTAGAGCATGTTCTGACATTCAGGGGAATGTACATCTATAGAGAGGGATTCATACTACTGGAGAGGACAGAGGTACTACATAAACCAAGTCTCTGAGTAGATACGAAAGGAGGGGAGCCAGTGCTCAACAGAAAGAGTTGGTCTTAGGACAGAAGAGTGGGTAGATGCAGCTGTAAATGGTTTGGTCCTCGTGGAGGTCAAAACATGAGGAAATTCTTCTCCATCTATTTTGGCTTCTCAGTGAAAGGAGAAACAAGGTCATCAGCTAAGAGGTAAAATGGAAAAAGGTACAGATTAGGCAACAAGGTGAGATTCTGGATTCACATGAGGTATGTGGTCATAAATTAGTAAATTTAAAGTGAAATATGGTTGTGTGGTTTTTTTTTAATAATAACACATACCAGCTAACATTCATGTACCGAGTAAGTGAAGACATGGGTTTATCCAAGATTACGTAATAAGTAAACTATATAAATAATAAAGAAAATGTAAATAAGTAAAGGAGAAGGAGTTAGATGAACTTTGTTTAAAAAGAAAAAACTGGTTATGATGAACACTCTCCAAGCATTCATTGATTCATGTACTAAAGCACTTATTCAAACTCACAGTCTGGAAGAACTACCAATGACAACATTCAAAACCACAGCTCAGTAGCTTAACCAACAAAGACCTATTTCTTGCTCCATCTCCGTAAGCAGGAAGCTCTGCTCCATTCAGTCACTCAGGGATTCAGGCTGATAGAGGTTTTACTTACTGTACTGTCTCAGCAGATGGCTTCAAAGCTTACTATGGAAGAGGAAGAGAGAAGCTAGAGTCACACCCTGGCTCTCAAATGCTGTGGCCTGGAAGTGGCACACATTATTACTGCTCACATTTATTGGCTAGAATTAGTCATGTGACTAATGGGGACAATGGAGGAGCACATGGAATTCAATACAGAGTAAATGTTGCTGTCACGGGCTGATCTGGAGCAGGAAGAGAAAGTTGCAACATATATGGGTGTTCAGACACCAAAGCCCCACTCTCCTAAATATCACACTGCCTCCTTGAGTGTTATGTTGACATGTAGGAATGAGTGTTTGAGGGGGTTATTTAATATTTCTATATGCACTTTCCTAGCCTTCTCCAAAAATACTTAACACAGTACTGAAGCACGAAGCATATGCTTGAAATTTCTTCCTGGCTGATGGATTGATTGATATATGGCATAAAGTTTAATCACAGTGAAACAGCCAGAGTTCATCTGGACCAAGATCTCCAAACAGCGAAAATTCAATTCATCCAAGCCCCGAGGATGAGTCTGTAGCACACATCAGTTACTGGCATTAAAGAGAAACGACAGAGCACTGATCAAGAGGAATCTGAGCTTGGAAATCTGAAAAGAGAACACTATTCATTTTTTTTTCTTTTGTTATTTTATAATCTTTAAATTTCTCTGGAGGAAAGAAACAATATTAAATACACTGAAAACAGAGTTCAGAGATAGTAAATCTGTTGGTAAGGTGGAAGTGCCGACCTTTGATGCAAGCAAATTTTGAAAGTCATCATGTGATGACTTCTTTAGACCACATATGATTCGAGTGGATGGAGATAATGAAGATGGTGATGCCGGCTATTTTGGGCAAGTGTATGTACACTGCAGCTTACAACCTTTAGAGCTCAAGTACAGTCCTGTGTTGCTTCAGGGTCCTGCCTCCCCAGCACAGTCGCTGTCCCTTCAAACCCTCCTTCAAATGACAGCTTCCCAATGGAACTTCCCATTGATTTCAAAACTCCTGACTTCTGCTCTGCCAGAGAACACATTTTTGTTGTTCTATTTTTATTTATTTATTTATCTATTTATTTAAATACACAACAGTGGAATGCATTACAGTCCTTATTACACATATAGAGCACAACTTTTTGTATCTCTGTATATAAAGTATGAAAAATTGTGGTATATATGTGTATTAAGAATTTTAATGCAAAAAAAAAAAGAGTACATGTATAATGGCAGAAGTTGGCGTGAACACATTTCTGTTGTTTTAAGCCACGGCTCTTTGAGGTTCTTTGTTATGCAGTCCTGAGAGGCAGATGCGCCAGGTGGTGCTGGGTTGTCTGGGTACCACCACTTGAGAACCATTGTTTCAGGACAACAGACCAAGGACCTTTCTACTGGAAAAAATTGAAGAATTTAGATAATAAATGTTTTTGAGAAAAGTGTTCATTGTTTTTTTTCTTCTTCTTCTTTTTCCTCTTGGGTTCTATTGTGGACACATGTTGTGTGGGGGGATTGTCCCGGATCATTTTTGAAGAATTTCTACTAACATCTTCATTGCAGGACAGTTTGCTATGAAGATGGGCCCTCTCTTTCCCTGACCGGATACAGTCAGGGGTATGCACAGGACCTGTGATTAGCCAGCTGCACCCCCCACCCCGCCGCTGGGGCTTTGGATTGCCAACCAGAAGTGCAGGCGCAGGGTGGCACTTCCTCCTCCAGCACTGAGGCCAGGCGTGGCCGGGGATGGGTGTCATGGTTCCCTTCCTCATCTGCTTATCTTCTCCTGGACAGTCCATGAGTTTCCAATATCCTTCCAGTCAATCCCTTTTGGTTTAATTTACGAGTTCGTTTCTGTTGCTTGCAACCAAAGAACCTGAATGAATACAGAGCGCCTGCTGTCCTCACACGTGTCCTCCAAGTGTGAGCTTAGCGGGGCTGAAGAGGGATGAGTTTTTCCTGGTCATTCAAGTAATGCCAACACTGTAACAAAGGGAAGGTACCTGCCAGATATGTTTTTAAATCTTTTTGCTTGACTTCTCATTGGTTAAAACACCACAGCACAGATAGTGAGAGGATCAAGTGCTGATTAATTGAACAGGGCTCCCTTCAGAAGAGAACATATATATTTAATGGCAGTCCAAGGAGACCACAGAATCGGTGATCACACGGTCACTTTATCCTTGGAAGGGTAGAAACTTCCTATCCGCCAACCTAGTGGGAAGTTAATATTGACAGCAGCTTTGTGACCAGCCCAAAGATTTGCCTCAGGTTTTTATTTATGTCAACTAGAGACACACTCTTAGAGTTTAGTTGCTTAATGCACAATTATTGGCAAGATCCAAATAGTCAGGTGAATTCATTATTTCCCTCTCTTTACTGTGAAAGATTTGCTCTTTACAATGTCCTCTGTCTCCTTCACCCACGCCACCTAGAAATCTTTCTAAAGTTGACTTCTGTGGCTTCCTCTCTGCTTGGCAAATCAGGTTCCTGTTCAAGAAAATAATAAATATATTTGCAACTGTTGGATAAATTAGGCCAACTTTTCCCCTTTTATCACCTTACTGATGCCTTGGACTAATACCAGCTGGGTATTCCTACCCGCTCGATGCTTACCGACTTCCTCCTTCCTAACCCATACAGATGCCCCATCACCTGGGACTCGCATGCTCCCTCCCCAAGTCCACCTTCCCTCCCATCAACTCCAAGCCAGGGCTGCTTCAGTCTCTTTGGCAACTTTTCTATAATCTAAGAAATAACCAAGCTTCACTACCACCCGTCTCTGTGAACTCTTTATAAAAATGTAAAGTGCTACACTTTAAAAATTTAAAAAACCAGTAAAGTGCCTTCTAAAGTTCAACCCAAGTTTAGAAAATTCATTACAATGAAAAGAGAAGAAGGGGATTTTTTTTTTTTATCACTGATAGTTAGTGGCATTGATGGATCATGGCAGAGCCATCCGCAATATGGCCAAATAATTTCACTGGAGAGGATTTTATATAGCTACAGCTAAAATTCAATGAACTGATTCAGAAGACTCAGTATAAAATATAACAGTGACTTCGAGTGCCAAATCAATTTGGGGGCTTGACGGGATAGGGAGAGCCTCTGTGCCCTCCCCCTTCATGGACGTGACTTTAACTGGAACTGTAAATTCTCGAGCCCAGGAGTGGTGGGCAGCGGGTGGCAGAGGGTGATTTAAGAGACCCATGGAGAAAAACCAGCCAGTGGTTGCAAACACTGGTGCTTTGAGGAGGCTGTGACTATGAAGGATGTCCTCAGAGAAGGCTCAGAGGATGATTCCTGAGAGCAAACTAGGGATGTGCAGTCAGAGGACGAGCATTCTAGGTTTTCCATTGGGATCCGTCCAAGTCCCTGTTTCCACTTCACTTTCCAAGCTTCTGAAATGGAAGGCTTAGACCAGAATAATGTTTTCAAGGTTTTGTGTTTTCATAGTAGGAGCCTTTTCAGCAACGAGTTGGTCTGATGTTTCAGTTTGTCCCTCCAGACCTCTGCTCCAGCCTTCTTTTTTGGGGGAGGGGGTAGTTACCGAGGATTGAACTCAGGGGCACTTGACCACTGAGCCACATCCCCAGCCCTATTTTGTGTTTTATTTCAAGACAGGGTCTCACTGAGTTGCTTAGGTCCTCACTTTTGCTGAGGCTGGCTTTGAACTTGCGATCCTCCTGTCTCAGCCTCCCAAGCCTCTGGGATTACAGACGTGCACCACTGCCCCCAGCTA